GGTTTGTTGGTTGGTGTCGTTTTGTTGCTTGGCGTCGTCCTGGCGGCGTGGCCGATAATCGGCGGCCTGCAATGGCGCCAGGATTTGTTTCGGGCCAGCCTTGATCGCCCTCATCATTCTCATATTCGTCAGCGTCAGCACTCGTCGCCCCCATCCGCGCACACATGCGGCCCTGGTACGGCTCTCACGCGGCCCTGCGAAGGCCTTCACTGTGCTCCCCAAAGCTTTCTGAGGGGCCCCCCAGAGGCCCCAAGAGGGCACTGGAAATTGTCGCTTCCAACTCCGCCAGGCGGAGGTCAACAAGGGTCTCACTGGTGCACTTCCAGGAATCGTCGTTCGATCCTCTTGGGGCCCTCCTGGGGCCTTCTGGAGCCGTCTTGGAAGCTCCGAGCGGCTCCATGAAGGCGCCGGGCGATATCGCTTCCAATTCCGCCAGGTGGAGTTAGACCAGGGGCTCACTGAGGCCCCTTTTTGCGCCCTCCTCTGCCTTTGAGAAAGCCCCGATGGGGTTCTTCAGTGCCGTCTTAGGGCCCCTAAGAGGCCTCCAGTAGGGTATTGAAGTCATCGCTTCCAACTCCGCCACGCGGAGTCGAACCCAGGGCGGCTCTCTATGGCCCTTTCGGGGCCTTCTCAGAGATTTTCTGAGGCCCTAAGTGGGCCCTGGGAGATGTCATTTTCACGGGCGTTGAAAGTGACACCGCGGAGGGCCCTCTTGGGCCCTTCTTGGGGCCTCTCTTGGGTCCCTCTGGGAGCCCTCTTGGTGCCGCCCTGGGGCCTTCTCGGGGCCTTCTTGGAGCCTTTCTGGTGCTCTTTAAGTGGGCCCTGGGAGGTGTCACTTTCACGGGCGCTGAAAGTGACACATCGAAGGGCCCGCTTTCCCTCGTAGCGCTGCCCGTGGCCGGGGCATTGTGCAGCGCATCCCTCGTCGAACGTATTTTGTCGGACGCGTGGTCGAATTCCGCCAGTTCGGTCGAGATGGTGGTCAAGCGGTTCGGTTGCAATGTAGCCATGCGGATCTGAGCTTACCATTTCTTGCCATTTTGGCGGGGATCGCAGGAGCGTTTGTGTTGTGATCAACTGTGCTCGATATATCCAGCGGCAGCGCTTCATCCCAATATATTATTTTGAAAAAAGTCAGCAGGGGCCAAACTGCTGATGTGAAGCAACATAGGTCTCGTATCATCATCATCATCATCATCATCATCATCATCATCATCATCATCATCATCATCATCATCATCATCAGCATCATCATCAGCATCAGCATCATCAGCATCATCATCATCAGCATCAGCATCATCATCATCAGCATCATCATCATCATCATCATCATCATCATCATCATCAGCATCATCATCATCATCATCATCATCATCATCATCATCATCATCATCATCATCATCATCATCATCATCATCATCATCATCATCATCATCATCATCATCATCATCATCATCCTCATCATCATCATCATCATCATCATCATCGCCATCATTTCGCCCGGCCGAAAGGGCTCCGCCGACGGCGTCGCCCGCGGGCAGCCGCCACTCCAGAGGCGCCGCCTGCCAGGGCAAGCTGGCACGCAGCGACAGCGACGGCGAGCTGCAGGGCCACCGCCAGCGACTCCACGGCCGCCAGCTCCGACAGCCCGATCGTCACAGACGGAAGGGCGGACCCAGGGCTCGACCAGGAACGCTGCTGAGCGGATGCGCAACCAGTCCACGCGCTGCACGCCTCGACCTGGCTGCCGGGGCTCTGCGCGCCGCGCGTGCCCGTCCGCGCGCAGGTGGAGGAGGCCGCGTGGCCCGCCGCCCCACGGCGGGAAGTGAGCGCCCAGGGCCTCGGCGCCTCGGCGGCCGCCGTGGCGCCCGCGGAACTCGGCCCCGAGATAGAAGCCCGCAGGGCCCGGCTGGCCCACGACCTCCACTTTGAACAACGTGCTGCCGTTGATGGTCCCGTCCGCGCCGTGCGTTGGGACCTCGAACGCGAGGCCGCGGGCCCAGGCCCCTGCGCGACCTGTCCCGCGCGGGACCAGGGGCCGCTCGCCAGGCCATCCAGGGCCGCCGCCGCCACAGCGGCCGCCGCCGCCCCAGCGGCCGCCGCCCCCAGGGCCCAAGGCAGCAGCAGATGGGGCGGGTCCCGCGGCCGCCGCCGGAGGGGCGCCCGGCGCTGCAGCAGCGCCGCCTCCTGCGCCGAGCGCCGCCATCAGCGCTACCCCCGAGCCGCCCGCGGGCGTGGGAGCGGCACCGCCTGCGGCGGGCGGCGGCGGCGCTCCACCCGGTCCGGGGCAAGGAGGCCTCCCAGGGGCGGCAGCCCGAGCGACGCAGCGGCTCCTCCGCCAGCAGCTCCAACAGCCCCAGCCGCGAGCGGTGCCGCGGGCGCTGGGGCCCCGCGGGGCACGGCGAGGGCCCCTGGCGCCGGGGCCGCTGCACCCCCGCCGCCAGCCCGGCCCGCCGCTCCCGCCCCGGGGCCGCGTCCTCGTCCAGCACCGCGCCCGCGACCCGCCGCCGCCGCCACAGCCCTGGCCTTCGGCTCGGCCTTGGCCTTTGCCTGGGGAGGCATCCTCCGCGTCCGCCACGCCCGCGAACGCAGTCAGCAGCGCGGTGAGCCCCTTCGCGCGGCCTACGACGGCGGCTCGCTCGCCACGCGAGAGCTGCATGCCGTAGGCGTGCTGGGTGGCGAGCGTGAGGAGGCAGCACAGCTTGCACACCTCGAGCAGCCTGCCCGTAGTCGCGAGGGCAAAGCTCTCGTGGGGCCCGCAGCGGCCCTGGCATCAGCTGCACCGCCGCCTCGGCGCCCCGGCCAAGGGCAACGCTCTGGGCCCGTCGCTCCGCCGGCCCCCTTGTGGGGCCACCACACTGTAGGACCAGGGCTTGCTGTTCCATGCGCCAATTCCACAGTTACAGTTCTGCTTCTTGTTGTTTACTGCTCCTTGTTGTAGACCGTGCGAGGGGGGGAGCCAAAAACCGCCCTGGTTAGCACATCCCGGGAAGCGTCTCAGAATTTCCGGGGGGGTCGAAATTGACACCCTTCACGCAGATCGGCGGGGTCAGGGTCCAAAAACACATGGGATTTGATACATTTCTGAAATCCAGTGGCACCCGTCACGCAGATCGGCGGGGTCAGGGTCCAAAACCCCAAGGGACTTCCTACATTTCTGAAATTCGGCGTCACCTCCCATGCAAATTGAAGTCAGGGTCTAAACACACATGGGATTTGCGATACCTTTAGAATTCGGCGGCGCCTCTCACGCAGATCGGCAGGGTCAGGGTCTAAAAACAGATAGGATTTGCAACGTCTCTAAAATTCGGCGGCGCCCCTCACGTAGATCGGCAGAATCAGGGTCGGAAAACGTTTGGGATTTGCCGCATTTCTAAAACTCGGTGGCACCCCTCACGCAGATCGGCGAGGTCAGGGTCGGACAACTTATGGGACTTGCGACAATTCTGAAATTAGGTAGCACCCCTCACGCATGGCGGGGTCAGGGTCGGAACACCAACGGGATTTCCCACATTCTGAAATCCGGTAGCACCCCTCACGCAAATCGGCGGGGTCCGAGTCCAAACATCTAAATGATTAGCCACATGTCTAAAATTCGGTGGCACCTCTCACGCAGATCGGCGGGGTCAGGGTCCAAAAACCCATAGGATTTGCAATATTTAGATCATTTGGCGGCAGCCCTCACGCAAGTCGGCGGGGTCAGGGTCGAACAACAAATAGGGTTTGCCACATGTCTACAAATTCGGTGGCCCCCCTCACGCAGATCGGCGAGCTCAGGGTCGAAAAACACATGGATGTCCCACATTTCTGAACTTCGGTGACACTCCTCATTCAGATCGGCGGGGTCAGGGTCCAAAACATATGGGATTTGATACATTTCTGAAATCCAGTGGCTCTCCTCATGCAGATCGGCGGGGTCAGGGTCGAAAAACACATGGAACCTGCAACATTTCAATACTTCGTAGAAAAGCTTGTTGCACAGCATATGCGAGCAAGCTCGAAATACAACACCGAATTCAACAATATCATCATAATCTCAACTTGTCTTGCCGACTACTCATCGTCTTCGCGTGAAGTCCTGACGCTGCTTCACGGCGGCGCCAAGGCCTCATGATTTCGCTCCTGCATTGCCCATTATCCGAGAGAGGGGGCCGGCGGCAGGGGGCGAAGCCCTTACGGAGAGAGGTACATGTTATTTCGATTATATATATATATATATACCGAAAGATGCGTATACATACGCAACGATAGATCGATCTAGAGAGAAATTGGAAGATAAAGAGAGAGAGAGAGACAGACAGACAGACAGACAGACAGAAGGACAGAGAGACAGAGGGACAAAAAGACGGACAGACAGACAGACCGACCGAGAGGACGGCACATCGTAGAGGTCATAGAAACAAGGAAGACGAATACGCTTCCTGCAATCGACTTGAGTCCTGCCCGCGGCCCTGCGGAACCTTCATTTTCAACTACCCTCCCTCCTCCCTCCTCCGTCCTCCGTCCTCCTCCTCCTCGTCCTCCTTGTCCTAATCCTCATGCCTCATCATCCTCTCCTCCCTCCCCTCTTCCCCTTCCCCATCCCTCCGTCCTCCCCCACATCCTCCGCCCCCCCTCCAATCCACCCAATCGGGCGGAAGTTCCCGGCCAAGGGTGACATCAGAATTTCCGAGGAACCCGCCGCGGCCTTTACAGCCCCCCTTCAGAGCCCGAGCTCCAGGGGCTCCAAGACGTCGCGAAAATCTGTCGACCCCCTGGGCCAAGGATCCCTTCTACCACCCGACCCGAGGTCGCTCCGCCGCTGCCCCCAGCTGCACGCAAGAGTGCAGGTACGAGTGGCCCGTGGCACACGGATCTGAAGGGCCGCGATGGGGGAGAGGGTGGTTGGGGACACATCCAAGCAGGATGGCCATTGCGAAGGGGGCACCTGTGAGCCCGCACCGGAGGTCATTCGGGCGCCATGGCCAGAGCCGTGCGCTGATGGCGGGCTGGCGGCGCGCCTGCACCTGCGCGGGCGGGACGTAGGACCGCGTGGGCACGCCGCCCGCGGCCGCCGGTGGCCTTGGGGTGGGAGCGGGGCGGAGGGGCGGGAATGGGGGGCGGGCCAATCGACTGGACAACGCAAGCCGAGTGGCCGTAAGAAGGTCCACCCTCATGATCTGAAGTTTAGCTCAGGGAGGAGCGCAACTGAGGTCCAGCAATCATTATGATGTACTTCAGATGCTGAACCGTTCTAGTCAGCATCACCTGGCAGACGGCAGACAAATACCAAGCCCCAGCTGTAAGCCCCAGCAGCTGCTACCTGACAGCACGATTACCATATAATGGATTGGCAACAAGTTCATGCTGAGCAGGCAGCGTGTAGTTGAAGGATGGAGGCAAGTATAGGCAGAGCGCCAGGAATGGTAATGAAGGGTACTCTCTCCTTCCCTTGACAAGGAGACGCTGGGCGAGGTGGAGTCCCTGCTCTCTCTCTCTCTCTCTCTTTATCTCTTTTTCACTTATCCCTCCCTCTCTCTATGCCCTCTCTGGCAAACTTCAACTAGGTTCGCATGAGAAGTATGATTACATTATGCCCTGTGCTCGCTGTCCCGTTGGGTGCGACTGCGACTGGGAAGACGAGGAGCAGGAGCAGGAGCAGCAGCAGCAGCAGCAGCAGCAGCAGGGCCCAGGGCCTCGCTGGTGCGATGTGCATCGACAACGAAGGGACCTGGAGAGAGCTTGGGCGGCCGGTCGGGTGGGGGGGAGGGTGGGGGAGGGAACGAGGGATAATTAGGGAAGAGGGAGTGGGCGAGGGAGAGCATTGAAGAGGGGATGGGGAGGAACAAGGAACCGTTGCGTCTCGCGTGACATCGGCATCTTCTTCACCCGATCGCACTTGCGAGTTATGCCAGCCAAGTGTTTGAAGCTGTACGGTGGATCAGCCCCTCGATCCGACCGTTTGTTTGCATGTGCCCTTGACTGATCGGGGGCGCCAAAACCAGAATCCTCAGTGGCGGACGTGCGAGGGTGCACGCTTGTATTAGTTCCCGTCTGAGAAGCGAAGCCTGTGAGGTGCCAGCTTGAACACGGTTGGGAATGAGATCGAAACTGCACATTACCATCCACGAAGCTCTCCGTTTGGCATGAAAGAAATGAATCCTGGAACCCGTGGCCCCGAGGATCAATTCTTCCTCCCAAATTCTTGTCCAACAGACCCATGGCCCGAGTAGGGACCCCTGGAACGGGATAAATGCGAATAACCTCAAGACCCGTTTACTTCAGGAAACCTCTGTTTCATGGCGACGGGTGGTAGCGATGGGATGAGGAGGAGAGAGGAACATAGGAGAACATGCACAGAATTACTGGGGGCGCCGCGGGTCGCGAGCGCAGCGCCTCGCAATGGCTGGTCTATGTTCGTTTGGTCTACGCCCGACTTTACCCGAGGTTTCTAACTTTGTCCACGCTCCAGCACTAAAGGTCAACTTGCTTGAGCGTAGCCCTTTCTAGTACTCTTGGATTCTCCAGACCGAATCTACCAACTAGTTTGACAAACATTCACCACAAGCATCGCCGAGTCTGGATGTACCCGTGCATGCCTAGGTGGTGCACGCTCGACGCGTCGGTAACCCGTTGCTGCTGTCATCACCCACATGCTGGCACTGGTGCGACATGTTCCATCACTGGCTTACAGAGACTTGCCCACCAGTGATTCTGATGATAGCAAAAAATCGGGGCGCATGCGTGATACCACCAGTCCTGGACCTGGATGGGCCAGACCGAACGTACGAGTACAGGTGGACGCACTACGTGCGCACTTATGACCGTGCAAGTCGCATGGAGAGCTGGACGCTGAACCTTTACTGGCGTACGTTTGCAGAAGAATTCACGGGACGCTTGAACAGAAAGGGTGCTACAAATCGCCACTTGGATTGGATGATGCTCGTAACGTGCGACACGTTACTGCACCTTCCGACCACATTCGCCAGCTGCGGGGGTCTTTGTGGCCACTTCGTCGTGGCCACATGAGGGCCCTTCTGTGACATGTATTTCGCTGGTGCGATTGGCACGTTCAGCTTTGGAGTTTTCCCTTGCTGCTCAGATGGTTTTGGAATGGCCGGAGCCACTTCTTCAAACAAATGCCGAAATTACCGCTGCGACCAATACTATCGATCCGATCGCCGTCCGGGGACCCCACTTCGCATCCACACGCAGATCAATTTGAGCCACCAAGACAAATAGTTCGATGAGGACGATGAACACTAAGGACATTCATTCAGGATGGGGGAAGAGGAAATACACCCAATTCGCCAGGCGCACCATGCGCCCAAAACGCCCATACACATCAAATGCAACGAATCCGCCGAAATTCCGGCGTGTGGAAGGCGCTGTCGTCGTCGTCGTCGGCAGTCCCAAGGTCCAAGGAAATTAACGAACAAGGGAAAAAACGTCGTAGTTAAGTCGAACGGAAGCCTGTTCCCTTGTTCCTTTCCCTGGGGCGGGAGGGTCCTCAGGGGCGCACAGGGGGTCTTGGGGAGGGACCCGCGGGGGGGGGTCCAGGGCCAGACAACCGCCTTTTCAGGCCCTGGCTAATCGGAAGGAAAACGTAGCGCCCCGCAGTCGCGGACAAGAGTGAAGGAGCGGCGGGGACGTCGGCAGTCTGCGACGCTCCGAAGAAACCGGCCGCAGGCGCAAAGATTTTTCCAGATTATAGAACGTATAGAACGACCCCGCCGCAGGCGCCGATTTCTCGTGAAAACAATGTGGGTGGGTTGCGGGGTGGGTCGCGGGTGGTTCGCGGGTCGGTCGCGGGTGGGTCACGGGTGGGTCGCGGGGTGGGTCGCGGGCGCGTCGCGAATGGGTCGCAGGGTGGGTCGCGGATGGGTCGCGGGTGGGTCGCGGGTGGGTCGCAGGTGCGTCGCGGGCGGGTCGCGGGGTGGAACTGCGACAACAAACAACAATAAACAACACCACCAACAACAACAATAACTCCGACGGTAGAACCCCGCACGGGAATCGACTCAAATTGCCCCTCGCCTTTTTTCTTCGTCTGGCGGAGGTTTCTTTCCGCGTTCTTCGTCCTCCTCCTGTTCCTCCTGTTCCTCCTCGTCTTACTCGTTGCATGTGTCATCCTCTTGCTCTTCCGCTTCCTCCTCCTCCGCCTCGTCCACTTCCCTTTTTCCTCCTCGCGTTCCTCGTCCTCCTCCTCGGTCTTTGGCTCGCCCTCCTCCACCTCCTCCTTCTTCCCCCCCTCCTCGTCGCAGCCCCGTTCGTAAGCTCTGATTGGGGAACGTGTCCCAGAAGGGGGGATCAAACAATTCAATCTTTAGAAATGAGAGTTGTTCTTCTGCTTCTTCAACACAGGCAACCAGAAACACAATACATGTCATATTGTTCGCTCTTATATGCTCGAGTGTCAGAGAACCACAGATATGTAGGTTTGGTGATATGTAGGCTGGGCGCATGGTTTTGCACGCTTACAGCCTGGCGCCCACCTGGCGAGGAGGGCGGCGGAGGGATTCGGCGGACCAGGGCCGATTGACGGGAAAAAGGGCGGGGGGAGAGCGCAGCGAGGGAATGGCACACGAGGGAGGGGCATTGCCCAGGCAGGAGGAGGATGGAGGATACGTTGGGGGGGGCGGGTGAGGGAAGGGGCAGGCTGTGCCTTTTTGGGCGACCTGGGGCCCTCCAGGTTGCCGTCTCGCGGGGCCAGAGAGGGCCCCCGAGATAGCCGCAAACCGCGTTGCATTGGGGGTGGGGTGGGCCCTCTCGGCTTCGTCCGAGGGCACTCTGGAGCCTTCCAAGGCCATCTAGGGGACCCCGAAAGGGCTTCCAGAGGGGCCGTTTAAGGGGGCACCTAAGGGGGGCCCTAAGAGGGACCAGGGATGGCCTTCAGAGGGGCGCCTCAAAGGGCTTTCAGAGGGGCCCCAGAGGGCTCCAGAGGGCCTCGTGGAGCCGTCTGGCTGTGGGCCCTCTGAGGGCCACCTGTGAGCTATAGGCAACCAGCCCCCGTGTCTGGAGCTCCGTGGGGCCCTCTTGGGCCCTCTTGGGGGCCTCTTGGGTCCCTATTGGGCAACGCTCGAAGCCTTTTCGGGGTTCTGATCTCTAAAGCTTTCTTGGGGGCCCTTTGATGATGATGATGATGAAGCGCCTTGAAAGGTCGGTTCTCCCAAAACACAAACCTGAGAAGCCACCAATACGCCAAATGCGTACGGTAGAGAAAGAGGGAGAGAGGGAAACGGGAGAAGAGGCGGGAGAGGAAGGAAGCGTAGGAAAGGTAAAGCCCAGCCCAGGATTGAAACCCATGATACTGAAAGAAATCATGAATGACAGACTGTCCAATATCCCAGATGAATCCCACCACAAGGTCTCTCTTGCATTGAATGAAGATAAGAAAATGAGAAACAAAGTGCAAGATAATGAAGGTTGCCCCAATTGATTAACAATATCTTGAGTAACTCTTGGAGCCAATCTTGAGGGCACATGGTCCCAATGTCTAGAGTAAGTAAGAAGTGAATAAAATTTCCATTAAGTCCCATGAAACCCATTGAACAAACGTAGCAGCCAAGACGGATATATGTACTGAAAGAGAATCTGAAGTACAAACCGAATGTCCCAAGCACACAATGAACCCAGAAGATACGGAGGCATACAAGATGAACTGTCAAGTCAGAGTGTGATCCCAGCCGTGAGAACCCACACCAGGCAAGTCAAGAAATATGGAATATGGTTGAATTCGAACAGGTATGGAGAACGCAGGATGGCTGGGAGTGTTTATAACCTTTTGTATTTTGCCAACCAACAACGTTGAAGAACATGCAAGAGAAATTGAGGGAGACTGAGAGTCCTCCAAAAAGCCGCAGGCCCATGCACCGCGGACACTAAGAGATTCAGTCTGAGGGAGCCTCAGGAATGGCCTTCACGGGCACTTCCAACGCCACTTTTCCACGAAGAAGTCTCCGTCCCACCAGTAGTCAGACAGGTACCATACAACTGGATGAGGCCAGCCCGATTCGGGATCGAACCACGTGTCAAAGTACTCCGTGTACCAGACTTTGGTGTAGACTTTGTCCTCTTCACAGTAGTTCCACATTCCTCCCGAGCCGTGCGTCCACTTGAGACGCTTCTTGGCGGCGAGCTTGACTGGGAGGCTGCGTTTAGTCATCCCCTGGAATTTGATGTTTCCCAGCCGTCTCGGACAAGAGTTCCCGTCAGGATTTGAGGCGAAACGGCTACTGACCAGAAACCAGTTCTTTCCAAGGAACTCTCCGAACCCTTTCATCGGGACCCCGAACGTTGACATACAGTCCATTATAGCCGCTGTCCCGACAAGCTTTGAAAAGGGGCCCCTGTGGCGGGGGGGGGAAGAAAAGCGATGTGGCTGAAAGCATGTTCGGACACTTTGCCTCTTGAGGCCTCCTGAAGCCTCCTCTCTTGGGACCCCCTTGGAGAGCTCTTGGAGCCGCCTGGGGCTCAAGGAAGAGTGGTCGTGCATCCCTGCATGACTGCGCCCTTGCATCCTTGCATCGGTTCTGGTCTGGCATCCTTGCATGCCCTCTGGGCGGTGATCTCGCATCCTTGCATTCTATCTCTCCGATGGTCTTGCGCCCTTGCCTACTAGCCTCCCGATCGGTGGTCTTGCATCCCTACGGCGAGCCTCCCAAGCCAGAGACCTGCTGGGCCCGTCGCCACCGTGCCGTTGCCATTTTGGCCCGAACGATTGCTTCGCTT